TTGGTCACATTTTAAGATAAATTATTAAATAATAAATAACCAAAGTATCAGATCCATCTTCAAGGTCAGCTAACCCTGACCTCTGAGTGTGTGAAATTTATCAGACTCTGAAACAAGTGGTTGTTCACATACCAACAGTAAAGTAAAACTGTGTATAGCACCAAACTCTTATCCTCACAGTATATAACAGACACATGACTGACTGACATCTACTGTTGTATTAGAAAATTACAAAAAGTAACATGTTCCTACACATATTTTGCCAAATTATCTGAATTACATTAAACTGTATGTATTTTCTTTTTTTTGTGTATAAAACATGAATGTGATATTGTAAATATTTCTTTTTATTATACATACACAAGTACGTAACAAAAAATGATAATGAAAATGGACCAAGTATTTTATCTTTTACTATAGAAACTTGATTTTTCTTTAATTGAAAAATCTAGTTATAAACTGATAACTTTATTAATTCTGAGAGTATACAGAAGTCCCCCCCCTCAAACATAGTATTAACCAAGTAAAAGTGTGTCTCTATACTCTAGTATGATCAATACTTTAGTTGAACCTTTTCTCTTCATTTCAAAAACTATACACTCAAGAACCTAGTGTTTCTCTATCTCATTTAGAAACTAATCATCTGAATGAAGCTAACCCTGTGTGCAGAATTACAGAAATAACAATTGCTCTGTACTACACACATTCAAATTGTAATTAGTCTTACAGGTGGCATTCTATCCACAGCTGAACTTAAAATGCTTCCATAACTCAAAAGGTATTAATGAACAAAGATATCTTAACACTTTAATTCAAACATAAAATTCCCATTAACACTGTATAATTATCTAAAGTATCCCTTATAATCTTCAAGTTTTGATTGTACTACCAACAGGCAGCATTTCAGTAAAAAAAAAAAATTAGATGAACACTTAATAATGGTGTTTTCGGCAGTGACTGGCAGAGACAATTTTCTAATGATATCAATTAATAGCTATGACCTTCAAACAACTAATACCAATAGACATGTATTAATGAATTCCCCTGAATCTACTTGCAAGAAAAAGATCCAAAATATATGCAGCACAACTTAAGTTCATATAAAATGTTTGGCTTCTTTTTTAACATAGAGTTTTAAATATTTTTACGTGTTGCCCGTATTGTGTTTAGTGGGAATTTGTTACAGGCCACCAAATGATTCTGATGAAATTAGTGAGAAACATTACAATGAGATTACGATTTCAGCTGTTAATGAAATCATAATTATGGGTGATTTTAATTTCAGGCATATAGATTGGGAAATTCTAGAATCAAACCATGAGGGAGAAAGGTTTTTGTTAACTGTTCAGGATGGCTTTCTTCATCAGTTAGTCCAAGAACCAACCAGAAACAATGCTATTTTAGACTTATTGTTAACTTCAAATACAGAAATGATTGAGAGGGTGGAAATTTGGGAACATCTGGGTGCAAGTGATCATTGTTCTATTAGGTTCAATGTTTTGCTGCATATGGAGAAAAGGAATAATGATATTTTGGTTACAAATTTCAAAAATGCAAATTTTGAAAGGATGCAACAAGAGTTATCTGTTGTGAATTGGGCAGACGAGTTATGTGAAACACTTATCAGATATGGAAAATTTTTAAAGATAAATTTTTATATATTCAATGTAAACCTATTCCTAATAGAAAGTACAGGGTAGCTACAAGTAAAAAACCAGGTTGGCTCACAAAGAGTTTAAGAAATGAAATTAAAGAAAAGCATCATAAATTTAAGAAATTTAAATTGACCAGTATGACAGGAGACTTAGAAGATTATAATAGATAGAGACAGTTGGTGAAACAGGAAATTACGACATCAAAAAGGATGCATGAGAAAAAGTTGGTTGAAAATGTAAGAATGAACAGTAAGGATTTCTTTAAATACATTAAGGGAAAACAAAATATTAGGATAGAGATGGAACCTTTGACAGATGATAAAGGAAGGCTAGTATCTGATGATTATGAGATGGCTGGGTTATTAAATTTCACTTTTTCTTTGGTTTTAACTATTGAAGATTTAAGCTGTATTCCACATCTTGATCAGTTGATAAATGGAAACAAGATCAAACAAGATGACTACATTAATTCTGAGCTGGTTAAGAAAAAATGGAAAGTTTAAAAAATGATAAGGCTCCTGGGCCAGATAATATTTCCCCACAGTTTTGAAGGAGGTTAAAGATTGGATATGTGAGCCACTTGCTACTATTTTCTGTCAGTCCTTGAATAGTGGGCAGGTGCCAGAGGATGGGAAGTTAGCTAATGTAACTCCCCCTTTAAAAGGAGGTGATAAAAATTGTCACAGTAATTATAGACCCATTAGTTTTACATCAGTTGTGGGAAAAATTTTGGAAAGTCTGTTAAAAGATGCTTTGCAAAGTCATTTAAAAATGTTTAGAATATTTATTGGATAGTCAACATGGTTTCACTAAGGGAAAATCTTGTCTTACAAATCTCTTAACATTCTTTGAAAAGGTAACTGCTTATGTAGATGAAGGTAAGGGTGTTGATTTGGTGTATCTGGATTTTCAGAAAGCATTTGACTAGGTGCCACATAAAAAGCTTGTAAAAAAAATCAGCTCTGTAGGTGTGGAGGATAAGTTAGGAAATTGGATAGAAGAAAGCAGAGGGGTT